ATGGGAGTATGGTTATCGCAATCAATCCAGGCGAGAGGAGGAGGAGGAGGATACATGGGACAACCCTGGGGGTAATAATCTTATTGCATGTCAATTGTTCAATTTGGTGTTTTTTTCTGTTGTGATGTTTTACATCTTAATCTGAAAGTGTTGCTCTGTTCTTGTTATTTGCTTGGCTAGCGATTGAAGAGGATAATGTGAATGTTATTGTTATTTGCTTCTTATAGCCATTATTCCCATTTTTTTCGGATGCGTTATCTTGGGACATAGCTTGATCTCATGATCTCTGAAAGAGACTGCCTGGTTTTATTTGGCACTAACAAAACTATAGTTACATAACAGGTTTATTTTAACTTCATTGATATACCAACTGCTTTAATACTCACATATCAATCACGCTTAACTTATTTACATAAAAGCGAACATAAAAAAACATCTATCATGTAATGCTTTAGTAAAAACATCCCATTCTGACCGTAAAAACTCACAAAAGTAGTGAAAATCTCTGCACCTTATTAGGAATCCACTGACAACCTTCTTGTTGTCTTTTACATCTTACTTCAAAGCATTCATTGTTCTTCTTATTCACTTGTTTTAGTGAATAAGAATGCAATATGAATGTTATGAAAGAAATGATTAAAATAAGTTATTATGAAAGGCTCATTCTCAGTTCTAACTGACAGGTCAAGATCACGTACTACATTGTTAAATTCATGATAAGTTGTATCTGAAAGTTTTCTAATTTTTAAATCTTCATGAAGAAACCTATTTATGCCAAAAATATACCATTTTCATGTTTATGCATCAAATAAATGAACATTACATAATTTTCCATGATCAAGATGAAGTTTTCCTCTTCTTTTCAGCCTTCTACTCTTGGCTGCGAGCATGGCTTCTTCTCTAGCGCTACTCTTATGATGCACTTGTACAGAAGGGAAACTCGTGTCTGCTTAAATTCACAGTTAAGTCTATCCTTCATTTTTTCCCCCCACTCTTTACTGTTAGCATGATATTTTTAAATCTATGCATATCATGTTTGACGATTTATTAGTGTGAGTAAAATCCTTAACCATAAGTGATGAACTACTTTCGTTCTTTCCAGTTCGATCGTTTACTTTCTTTCAATTGATGATAGGGAGTAAAAACTGATTGTTGATTTGACATGTTGTGGTGAACAAAATGGAACTCGACATTTCTATTAATTCCATCTACAACACACTGACAGTCACCTAATGAGCTCATTAAAGCGTAACCTCTCATTATGCTGCTCTTCTTGTCCTTAGAAAGAGGTAGGTGAAACAGACAACAGTTTTCCTGGAAGGCTGACATCTTTGGTTTAAGTTTGATCTGTGTAACCACTTTTTAATCGACTATTTACTGCAGCTTATATAAATCTAGCTACTGATCATTTACATAGTAGCATGATCATTCTCAAAAAAATCCTCGCTTATAATAGATGTCCTTTGGATACATCTATTATACGGTTCAATATCTCAGCAACACCCAAGTTTTTAGATACACCATAGAGTATTTAGCAACTATCCAAATATCAAACTTGTATCTGAGCAATGCATCTCCTATATCAAGGTATCCATGCAAATAGGTGAGGACAGCATTACTCGTAGAGCTTTGGTTATTTATGTTGTCTAAAGCAATATGCTTGTAAACTAGTAAGGAGATAAATTGCTATGTGAACTAGGTGCAGATTAAATTTTGGACTGGTCATTAAGTTTATCAGATTTTAGAAAGACTGATTTGGTAGTGACCAATACTGAAGTCTGAAACAGCAAGAGAGATGAAGCCATGTGATCTACAATGAAGAAATTTGTCCGTAAAAATAGCCTACACTAGTTTGATTAAGTGAGAAAAAACACATAATTTATATTAACTCTAATGCCTAATCACCTGCCTAACTTTTCTAGTTATTTTTTCCCTCAATGAAATTAGCAGTCTCTTGCATCAGAGCCTACCTTTATGTAAAAATTGTCTCACAGAATTCAGTAATATCTGTCAGTTTAAGTGGATCTCCATGATGCAATATTTATTGGCTAAATGACACTTAAATACCACAAAGTTTCCCCATTTTGGCATTTATATATCATGAGTTCTCTTTTTTTTCGCATATAAATACCATAAGTTGTTTAAAATTGGCACATTAGTACCGTGGATCATACAAACGTGAAAATCTTCACCCGAATGCTTATTCTATGATGCTTACATGCTAATTTTGGGTGCTTTTTAACGACTAATATTTGTTAAGTTTTCTATTAAATCTACAAAAAATCTTTAAACTTATCTTAATTCTGCTTTATAGTAGAGTTGGGACATCTTTAATGATAAATTTAACAAATTTTAATGGTTAGAAAGTTATAAAATTAACATGTTAGTGTCATATAGGAACATTTAGGTGAAACTTTTCACGGATCGAGGGTACTAAAAATTTTAAACAACTTATGGTACTTATTTGCCACAAAAAAATAAAAAAAAATCATGTTATATAATTGCCAACATGGGGAACTTTGTGATATTTAAGTGCCATTTAGCCATATTTATGAGATGTTTGACTCGCCAAAGAGAAAGAACTATGATTGGAGGTACGGATGTATTGCCCTTCCGTTTGCACATAGGTCTAATTGTCTAAAAGTACTTCCTGCATTTCCGATCTAAGGAAGCTGCTATACCAAAACTAATGTTATTGAGGAGGTAGATAGCTCATTACTCTATCTAATGAGTCAAGGGAATAAGAAATTTTTATTGTGTGGTGAACATTCAAATAATTTTCTCCTTTCTTTCAAACAACTTGTGAAGAAATAATTGTATTTAATGAAATTTAGCAGATCAACGTAGTAAAATAATCAAAATCAACCAATACGTGAAAGAGAAGTGCAAGTATGTTATGCATCAGGTTGTATTTCTACCTGTACATGTTGGATGGAGAGACAAAAGTGACATGTATAAGACGTGATACCATACAGTATATGCTAACATAACAAATTCTAAAAAGAAGACACAAAACAGAAGCATCATGTAAACACATGTGCCTAATATGTATGACCGGCACAAAACAGCTTCATGTTTGAAATGCTCATGTTAGCTCGATAAGTACACTTCTGGATGCTCGATAAATTTTTTTTTTTTTCCTATCTTAATTCTAGAAGCAGTGTTGTGCGATAGAGCCTAACCAAAGGCTAAGGAATCCGAACTGTTTCCTTGTGAGTCCATCACCTTGAAGGCAGGTATTTGGTGGTGTACTGAATTGTTGAGTTTGTTGTCATAGCCAGTAGGAGTTGCCCAAAAGAATACTTGAGCGATCAGTCGTAAGCTTGGCTTAGCAAATACTAACATTAAATTCATCTGAGGTTTTCCTGATATATGGCAGAAAGGATTTCCTAAGGGGCTGGTTGGTTGTTTTCCTACAATTATAGGAAAACCATTTTCTGCACCAAATTGCGTTTCCAAGCTTTTCTAGCATTTTCTTAGAGAACATTTTTTGTTGTTTGTTTCACTGGTCAAAGTGAGTTGGGATTTGATTTAGGGGTTTTTTCTTATAAACCCAATGTTTTACTTCCATTTATCAAAACCTAGTTCTATATGCAGCTGCACATTATATGGTATGTTGATATACACCCAATAGCCTGTAACTATAAACCCTATTGTATGCAGCTATATACTTTGTCTTCTATATTTTGGGTTGGGTTTATTGGAACATATAAAAATTGGTGGATTTTTTGGTAAATGGAAGTAGAACTTTCGGTTTATAAGCAAAAACCCCTCTAATTTATTAATTTACTTGTTTATAAAGAAATAATTTTTTGATTTCAAACTCAATTCACTAGTCCAAATAAGAAGAGGGGGTGATGATCGATTTCACAAAAGTTAGACAGCCCATGTGATAGCGGGAATTTTTAATTTGGATTAATTATTTTTCCAACCAATTTCCTCGCTAAAATTAAAGTCAGTTTTCCAAAGTTGTTAACTTTTTCGTCTCTTTTATAAATAGTCTTTTCCCAAGAAACAACTCTTTCTCCACGTTTTATCGCCGAACCAAAGGAAACAGTAAAAATGTTTTCTAAAAGAAAATGTTAGAAAAACTTGAAATTGCAATTTGGTACATAACTCCTTGTATCTCTTTTGATATGCTTGCAAAAATCTCCTGTCAACTTGCCAAAAGAGACTCCCACTTTTAGGCAGATCTCAGTTTATGGCGAGATTTTTCCTGGAGTATTACAAGATTTAAATAAAATGGTAGGGAACCGGAATCAATGAGAAAGGATAGTTTTGTAACAGAATAATCACAGTGTAGCCCGTTAAAGAGTTGTGGAGAAGTTTTAGTAGTTAGTTGAATTTGAAAAAAAAAAGGTAATAGATAAGTCTGAGTTTTGGGTTTTTATGCTTGAAACGGATGACAAAGTTGTAACTATTTGAAATTTGGTATTGGATTCCGATTTTACGTAGGAAGATCAAAGGTATGTAGATGTTAATAATTAAGGGATGGAAAACTTAGATTGTGCTAGTTATTTAACAACATATCGCAAGTGTTTATATTAAATAATTAAGGGAAGTTAATGCTTATAATACTCCTCATACGAGAAGTTATTGTATGGAATAGTGATGAAGAAAGGACATATGTGCAATTTCATAAAAATAAATGCATGGATATGAACGCTAGAATTCCTTTGAGATTGATCGCCATGATATTTTACCTGTCAAACACTAAAGCTAACTATTTCTTGTGATATAGTTTTTTAACGTTGGCCGTGCCTTTTCTTTTGTTCAAAAGAAGAGGGGGGAAAAGGAACATATTTTTATTATATTATTCTGTTATGATTGGTCTCATTACACTAAAGTGATGCAATTATTTCTGAATAATATAATGATTTTTGGCCCCCTTGGTATGAAGCAGGCTACTGAAGAAGATTGATGAAGGCTGTCAATTCAAAGAGATATATTGACCCTATCAGCATCTATGAACATCAAGGCTTCCTTCTAACGAGTCCTTATAATCTGAGACAATGTGCTATAATGATATTATCCTTCATGCTCAAGGTGTAGAGAGAAATGAACATGCTCTTGACAGGTAAAAAAAGAGAGAAAAAAGAAAAAGAAAAAAAGAAAACGAGTTTGTAATCCTTGTAAATGATTGTAAATGAAGTTATTATAAATCATGCATAATATCTGAGCTTCCTAGGTCGGTCGCGCTTGTATGCGCTGCAGATTTCGATCCTATGTCAAGCATTATTTATGAGTTTCGTAGTATCTGAGTTTCCTTTCACTATATTGCAGTTTTCTGTGCTTGCATATGGTGTACACTAATATAAGTGAGCATCCTTCATAACCCCATTAGAAGATTATTTGCCATACCAAATGAAAATGCGCAACTTACCGTTACATATGTACTGCTACATTACCGAAATTAGAAAAACACATGTCCTGATGACATGAGAAATAATGCTACCTTGATACAAAAGTATGATATATACTTATATAGGTCTACAATATTGAATCACAAATTTGGATTCAGTAGCACCGACAAGTGTAGCCATTATTGTCCATTAGTGTAGTCACCATTATCAATGCAGTCACGGATAGACCGTAGTGATTGCACTTATAAAATATCAATGATGTATTATTATGCGTAAAGAATCATAACCGCTTTTATAGACAATAGTGATTACATTGATAAACATTAGTGATGTGTGCAGTAAACTCTGTAAGTACTTGTGTCATCTCTCATTGCTTCCTATGAGGAATTATATAAAGGGTCCTCTATAGGATTTTATTTTTTATTAATGTCTTGAATATAAGGATTAGTCCACCTATCTGAGGAGGAAAATACACTGGTTACATAACCACTGAATGTAACCACTGAATGGTTTTCCACTACACTACACATATCGCAAGAATGAATATGATGAGAGTTGCACAATAAATGGTAAGAGAACGGTGCCTCTTGTTGACGTTGTTCATTGTTACTTTTCTTGCAATAATTTTGAGGCTGATCCACTTCAAATAGTATGGATTGCATTCTTCTTGAGCATAAGGTAATCCAAATCTCCCATGTTATCTTCACCAAACATACAACTCTCACCTTTTCATCAAATTAAATGAAAGTGCCCCTGTTATGCAACTTCACTCTTTTTGCTTGATCTTGGTCTTCTCTTAATGCGAGCTCGCATTTCTTTGGCGAGGAATGAGAAGATCACTAAGCTACAGATAGCCTATGTGAAAATTCATCACAGTACGAAATTGATATTCTTTCCGAGAGTAGAGGCAAGCATTCACAGCGCAAGTAAGAAGATACATGTAAATGCTAGTATGTAAAAGAATATTTATCGGCCTGCTCATTTCTAGACTTAAACATGTTAAGGGAATCAACTGGAATCAGCAAAATCAAACGAGTGATAATTTTAGCAAAAGGATAGCAAAGAGATAACTGATTACATTCATGGAGATGTAAAGAAACAATCATGGGAGAATGGTTCCGTGCATGAACGTTTAAATAACTGAACTAAATTTATTTCCATAATTTTCTTACAGGATAAGAATACAAGAACCAAACAAGACAATAGTGACAAATATAGTAAATTGACCCCAGCAATCATACTTACAGGGTATTAAAGATATATAATATGTTTTCAGCCAGCCAATGTACATGAAGTAATAGTACAAGTAACCTGCACTCGACAAATGCATTGACGACAAAAAAGAAGAAAATAAAAGTTCACCTGATTGAAGTTTAATAGGCATAAACCTCAGACAGAAGCATCCTGGGGTTTTTCAAAAGCGGGTAAGGAACTCAAGGCTCTGATAACATGCTCATAGACTTTGATTCCTTTCAGAAAAACAGTATCATTTAAGAACTGCAACAAAACATTTAAAAACAAGCAAGATATGTTAGTAAGAGAAGTAGATAATAACTAAAACAAAGAAGAAGGTGACAATGATTTCAGGAGAGACTACAGATGAATCTGCAGAGTGTTGGTAGTCTGCTTGATTGTGATGGGAGAGGACAAACCCAAGACAAGCCACCAACATTTTGAGCGGAACATTTTGGGTAATTTTACAAAACTATTATGAACTTTCCAGCCTTTTGTACAAAAACTACCACAAAAGCTTTTAGAGAAAATTTCCATGAACGTTTTTCACTAAATTACCATTTTTTATTACAGGTAGGGTAGGTTATCCCACATTTCGCACATGATATGTTTTGGAGAATTTTGCCCTTCTGTACTTTCTTTTTTTCTCTTTAAAAAGTCCTCCCATGGAGCTGGAGGGGCCACAAGTTGGGCATCGGATCATAAATGAAACAGAAAGGGTTGATTTCNTTGGCTTTAGGGGGTGTTGCACATAAACCCCTGAACTACAGGGTGTCTCACAAAATCCCCCAGAACTTCAGCTCATCTCACCCAAACCCCCCTGCCTATAATTGGCAGATAACTAAAATGTCTGAGTGAAAATTTCCCTAATTTTATCACGCGTCATTTACATGCAAAATACTCCTTCCCCTAAAGTTGAGTTTTTTTCTGAAAAATTTTTAGTTATTTGCAAATTAGCGGGGAGGGGTTAGGTGAGATAAGCTAAAGTTCAGGAGGGTTTGTTGAGACAGCCCATAGTTTATGTGAGATAAACAAAGTTTAGTGGGGTTATGTGCAACACCCCCTAGAGTTCAGGGGGGTTTATGAAATTAATCCGAAAAGAAAGAACAAAAAGGGCTACCCTCAGAGTGTACGACTCACGCATAACTAAAGAAGTGAAATCAGGCCATGGAGTGAATATTCCCATACCCTTGTGTACTATTGACTTTTACTGAGAGAGTTTTTGGGATAGAGTAGACAAATATTAATAGGGTAGCTCATGGTACCAGACTTTTACCCAAGACACATCATGTGAAACAATATCAATAGTTCATAGTATATTCTTGCAGTTGAAAGTTCATGGTAGCATTCTATAATAAAAAAGCTTATAGTAGTTTTAACTTTTAAGCAAAACTACCAAGAGCTTATGGTAGTTTAGGGAAATTTACCCTCTTTTCCCAAAAGAAGGGAGGGTTTACTAATTTATAGAAGAAAAAAAGACACCTTAAAAATGCCATGAGATTATACCTCATTATGCTCATGAAGTAATATTGGGGTATTAGCCATTGGTGAAAAGCCAAGAGTTGGTATGCCCAACTGTCTCATGAACCGAGCATCTGTTGTTGATCTTAAAATTTCAGGCTTTTGAAGTTTTCCACCAGAAGCTATGACAGCTTCTTTGAAAGCAGACCACCATGGGTTAGAGTCATCTGTTGTGGTTATTAGAGGACGCCCTGTAATATCCGTTACTGGTCCTTGCTGTATCAACTGCCAAAACATGAGAACATAAGATGGGATCTAGTTAGCATTCCTGAAGACCCAGTGGTATAAGATCACACTGGTAATTGAAGAGTTAGAATCAAATTCTACTTATGGTTCTTTAAGCACAGGATATATGGTACATGGAACTGTTACTTTCACACTAGCATCTAAAGATCTGAGGAATCTTCTCAAAGGATGATCTACACCATTCATTATAATTTTAGGTGTTTACAGATCAAAATCATGGGGTCTCGGGAATCAGGATAACTTGTCCATCCAACAAATGGTTATAAATTGAACAGTTACATAAGAAAGAATAAAACAGTTTTTAGACTACTTAATCGGCAAATGATTATCCAAACTATATGACTTTTAGATAATGATAAATGGTGCTGATGATCCACCAGAATGCTCTAGAAACAGTTTTTCCCCATGTTTGGGGATGCATAACAAGAAAATTTTGCCAATCAATATTCCATATTTACTGAGATATGTAAAATATAATATATATGAGAAAATGGTTATGAGATTGTTCATTTAGAAAACATGGATATGAGGTGGCAGCTCCTTTTAGTAATTGAGCTACCAGAAGGAGGCTACTGATGAGACTTACCTTGCTAGTCATATAAAAGCACACAGACCTCACCACTAGTCAATCTCTTGGTAGCTCTAAGTTACCAATAAATAGACCAGTGGCGAGGCCTATCCTACGAATCACATTGAAGAAAGTGTACCTCACAACTTCTATCTCTTTGTAGCTCATTTTGGTGGATGGTCGTGTCTGGGAGTTTCTGTGTGTGTGCGCGTGTGTGAATGTGTATTCTCACACACACATGATAATGGTGTCATTGTGCATATCTACTTAATATTGCACCCTCTTTTACTGATCACAATTAATTTCCAAATCTCACACTTAGCAACCCTAACCTCCCTTACCTCTATGTCCCCTTACCTTTATGTCATCAAGGCTTCAAGACTGCATTTCTCCTACTGCTCCTGTGTCATCCATCCCTCCTATCTTCTAAAAAAACTAGGTCAGTTTAGGCAGCCTAAAACCAATTGAAAATGAACCCTCGAGTGAGCAATAGTTGGAGAAAGAAGCCATGGTGATTCCTATTGGAGAAGAAGTTAGAAGTGTAGAAAAGTCCAAAATCCGATCCAAGCCATAGATCTCATCCAAGATAAATATGTTCCCTCTCATTTCAATCTCAGATCAAAACTCATGTTTTGATTCGTTCATCTCAGATCCAAAGGCGGAGTCTTGATCGCTTAATCGAAGAAAAAGTCGAGTTTTCCATTGATATCTCTCAAGGCAAACAACTTTGCTCTCCCTTGCTCAGATCTTCATTCTAGGATATAGGTTTTGATTATTTATACTCTGTTGATGCATTGTTTAACTTGTGGATTTGATTGGCTCTAACTATTTTCACTACGAAAGTTTATACTTTCGGATAATACCAAAATCTCTCTTGTTTTTGATGAATACTTAATGGTTGGATCTCAAACTTGTTGCAAATGAACCCTAACATGATTTGAAGAAATGTGTAAACCCTGAAATGAGGGAAAATCAAGAATTGTAGAGGTAGAAATTTCAATTTTGGATCAAAAATTAATTCGGCCAGGTTCAAAAGTCGATTTTGCCTTTGTGTAGTCGGTGAGTGGTTAATTTACAGTTTTCTCCTTATGATTTGAGTTTTCTAGTTTAGGGCCACACACAGTGCCTTGTTATATAGTTGTTTTACACTAATTCGATGTAGCTTGACCAGATATTGATTTTCATCAGCTTTTACCACCTCACCCGCGTATTTATCGATTTACTTCTTGAATTCAGTACATTAGCTAGTCAGAGGCTTTGGTATGTGCATGAGGATCACCCTGTCCCGGTTCTCATGTAGATATTATTGACTAAGTCACGTGCTCGTATCCATATTTGGGACACGGGGCATGACACAAGGGCTTAGGCGCGGGCTAGCTCTTTTGCCTTCCAGTCAAAGGTGATCCGGTCGGAGAGAGAATGCCGCCTTTGATTTGGATGTTCTTTCTAGCTCAATCCTGACCGCAATGATGGGGTTAAGTGAGGCTCTGAGTATGCTTGGAGAGTTTGCCTACTGCTGAAAAAGGAAACTCTGGCTAAGCTGTTTTGAAGCAATCTACTTCTGTTGTTAACGTTGCAAAAGGGAGAAGGAAGAAGGTTTACTTCTTCTATCAGTGATTCGATTTATAACTCTAGGATTGAAGCTCTTACGGCAAAGACTAAGTATTTTAAGTGCTGACCCTATTTTTGCATAATGAAACTAAATTAATGTGTACTAATGATGTTTTTCTAGCACTATATGATTGTCCAACAACTATGAATGTTGGATGAAGATGATTTTTGCAGGTTTGAAAGGGAAATCACGAGATAAAGGGTTGGACAAAAGGAAGAGAGCTCAGTTTGCTAAAGTCCAACTCAAGAGATTATCCAAGAGAACATAAAAAAATACAAGAAGCCAAGGATCAAGACAAGGTTCATTGACCAAAGATCTTCAAGATTCAAACATCTACAAGGTCAATGTGTCTTGTTACGTGTACTCTTGTGTCAGTCTTTCAACGGCCTTTTCCTTTCTCAAACCTGAAGGTTGTTAACATTTGTACAACTTTTAAATATCAAGTATGGAAATATACATGTTTGATCCGTAAGTATTTTTGAAAAGAAAATCATAAAATAGGTTTTATGGAAAATTCTTTTTCATGAATCTTCCACTCATGCTTCTACGCTATTGCTTTCAATTTTGAGAAAGAAACTTTTTTAAATAATGTTATTTCATTCAAGTGGATTTTTTTCCTTGTCCAGACGCTTTGTTTTCTTTGGCGTCCCCTTTTTCATTTGGGTTGACACTCGTCAACAAAATTGACAAGAAGTCACAAGTTGTGGTCTACACTCACTTTGCATTTCCACTCATATTCTTAGCAACAAATATCACCCATCATGAAATTTTATAGCATTAAATATACCTCTTGTGCAAGAAACGATTAAATCATTGTTTATTCTCTTTTACTTGGTTCTCTTGTGAATAAAGAACTAATAGCATTAAATATTATCGTTGATCCTCACCAAACATTATTTTGTTCAGTTTATTTGTGAACAAAGGCATATTGATACTTATCTCTATATGGGTTAGCTCATCAAGCTTTCTCTCAACTCTTGCATTAAAATTTCCCTCAGAGCTCATCGTGAAAATTTTTCATCAAGTTCATATTCCCAAACAAAGCTTCTTATCTTCAAAATCCCTCCAAGCTTTCATTTGTACTCTTTTAGAGGATTTCGATTGTTTTGAGAGAATTGTTTAAGTAGCACATCGCCACAAATGTGTTATTGAGCTAGTAGAGCATCGATCATAAAGTGAGAGTATCTTGTAAAAGTGAGTTTCAGCTGACTTTGAGTTCTTGAATTGTGCTTGCAAGAGAACGAGGTGCTATATGTTTCTCTTCACATCTAGGAGAAGTGTTCTCCCGTACACTTGGGACTGTCTACGTTAAAATCCCGCCTTTAGGTTGAAAATTGGCGGTCATTATATCAAGCTTGGGAGGCTTGAGTGATAGTGGAATCTAAAATCCTAATGAAGGTGCTAGGTTGGTGGACATAGTCAAGTTGAAGGGTGCACCACTAGAAAAATAGTTGTACACAGTCTACTACTTATTATTCTGTCATTGTGCTGTTTGGACCTTCCACTAGTATATTCCACTATATTTCACAAGAATTTTCACTAAGACAAACTCTTCCATAGTTGTCTTGTATATATCTCTGCCTACTATTTCTCCTCTACACAAAGGTCCTATTTATTTAGCATTAAATCAAGCTTATCAAGAAGAATTTGTAAAGATAGGTTAACGGTAACATTTATTATCGTTTGCCTTTGTCCACAAATAAACTGAATAAAACAATGTTTGGTAAAGATCAATGGTGAAAACCAATGTTCTTACCTCTTTATTCTCAAGATAACTAAGTGAAAAAGAATAATAATGTTTTAGCGGAGGTCAAGGTTTTCTTGGAGAAGAAGTCCATTTAATGCTAGGAATTTTTCATGATTGATAACATTCAATACTAATATAAGTGAAGACAAGCATTTAATGCAAAGTGAGTGAAGATCATAACTTGTGACTTCTAGTCAACTTTATTGACTAGTATCAGATCAAATGAAAAAGCTGGAGCCAAAGAAAGTAAAGTGGTTGTGCAAAAAAAAAAACTACATTTGAATAAAATAATATTTTGTGGAATCCTAGTTGTATTTCCACTAAGACAAACTCTTCCATATTTGTCACACACACACATATATGTCTCCCATTTCTCCTATACACAAAGGTCCTATTTATTCAACATTAAGTTCAGCTTATCCACAAGGGAATTTGTAGAGATAGGTTAACAATAACATTTATTATCGTTTGATTTTATCAACAAATAAACCGAATAGAATAATGTGTGGTAAAGATCAACGGTGAAACCAATGTTGTTAGCTCTTTATTGACAAAATAACCAAGTAAAAGAGAAAAAACAATGTCATCTCAAGTACTAGTGATTAAGTGTCTGATTCAAGTATAAAGCCAGAGTCTAATCCTCTTCTTCTTATTCCTGTTGTTTCTGCCTTGTTGTCACCTTCTTCCTACCAAATCCATCCAAAATCTTACTCGAATCCATCCTTGTTCACGTCCCTCAACTTTCCGTCGTCTAACCACCTTTATTTTATGCCAATAGCCTAGCCATAATAACATCAAAGACATCATCCTACCCAACTTTTACTAGTGTCACTAAACTATTGTGTATAAGGGAGAACCAATTTTTTATCGCTATTTGATAGTTGATATTGAGCTTTAATGACATTGATCCACATGCCATTAGCATGTAGTGGAAAACGCTAGAATAAATTTCCACATCAACTAATATTTCTGTTCTATGAATGAAGGTATCCCTTCTCAACAAGGATACGAATGTTGGAAACAGGACTATCAAAATTCATATCAAGGAGACTGTTCATTTGTGTTTATGGCCATAAGCACATGTGAACTACAAACTGAGAGAGGGGGGGTCATGGTTTGTACTGTTCACATAATATGCAAAGACTTGAAATTTTGAAAAAGACAAGGACTTGCCTGTTTAATGAGGGTTCATTTCATATATAACCTTTTAGTCCAAGTTAAAAGAGTAACATTGACATTTTTCTGTGATAGTTTAGCAGATACAGCTAGAGGTAACTTTTAAAGGAATGGTTGAAGTAACAACTGACAGACAGGTTGTATTTTTCATTAAATGATCTGCGAAGGTAAATAAGAGGTTCTTGCTCTTATTAGTTAATTTAGTTTCCTTCTTTACTTTTCTGTATTTACATCACATTCCTTCCCTTTTCGTCTACCTTGCTTCCTGTACTTTTCTCATTGTCTTTCTTCTCGTCAAGTTTATTTCCATTTCTATTTCACTTTTATTAATTAAAATCGTAAATGGATTTATAAACCCTGTGAACAGGAATCTTGTGTGTAATATTAATTGAATGGACAAGGCTAGGACCACAATAACATTTCGATAGACAATCTTAGCACACAATCTTTCCTTTTATTCAAAGCCTACAACATATTGTAAAATTCAAAAAAGTGAAATACTTATATTTTAAGCCATCAATATAAGATATGTCATAAGCTCTAAATCAGATAGTTGTATAAACTTGGAATACTAATAGAGATAACAAACTATGCATTAGAGAAACTTGAGGGCCACTTGTGATGAACATTTTTTTAAAAAAAAACACCTAGAATAGTAGGATAATACTCCTCTCGACATTAACACCTTCTTATTGTTAAATTCATAATACACATGTATGCTTATCATCAGTTGTGGAATTGTCAATTAATTGCCGTCTACATTCTTAAAAAGCAGATTTTGTTTATTGATAATGGACTTGAAAGCAGGATGTCCCTTGGTTACCTGGTAAGTCAAATTCCTAGTAGCTGGTGCCCATTCCTCATCAATTCTTTTCTTCAGGAGATCAGGATCTTCTGTAGGAGGAATGCGAATATCAAATCCTGCCTCGGCTTCTGAAGGTTGCATATTCATCACAAAACCCTGAAGGGAAAAGAGAAAGCTTTAACTGGTAAGACTGATAATATTACACTTGTGAATCTGCAAATGGAGCGACAAACGAGACGGTATCACTTTTGGAAAGGAAAATTTAGAAGCTTTCATGTTGTTTCCGTGCTTAAAGGGAATGGCAGAGTACAATCCCATATACAAAAAAAAAAAAAAACAAGAAACTGCAATCAGAAATGTGATAACTTGTTACGGAAATGTCACGAAAAGTAAAGTACTAACTAACGCAAGAATGAATGGAGAACTCTGATAACACAGTTAGAGGTATGCTACAGATAGCGAAACCACTACGAATGATTTATTATCGATTCCAACGAGATCCTACCGAGGTATACACGAACCGATGTTTCCCTCGTTATGATATGACCACATATGCTTGTTTTAGAGATGATCTTTATCATTCATAAATTAAGATCGTCCAGCAAACCATACCATAAGAGCACATGTGTAAACTAAAATAGTGAAAAAGAGTAAGCACGTATGATCTGAAACGAGCGTGTGTGTATATGTATATGTTAAAGTGAACTCCTCGTTATGTGACTACTTGAAAGCAAATAAGGTCATACAGCCAACATGTATCATGCGCAGACATTTCCACAAGCACTCACCGTGGGCGACGGCGTCCCGGCCTTAAAATAAACCAAATTGACGGAGACGACCTCCGCCTCCGCCTTAACCCCGCCCTTCACCAGCTCAAACTGGCTCCTTGAAAGCAAATAAGGTCATACAGCCAACATGTATCATGCGCAGACATTTCCACAAGCACTCACCGTGGGCGACGGCGTCCCGGCCTTAAAATAAACCAAATTGACGGAGACGACCTCCGCCTCCGCCTTAACCCCGCCCTTCACCAGCTCAAACTGGCTCCCACAAGCACTCACCGTGGGCGACGGCGTCCCGGCCTTAAAATAAACCAAATTGACGGAGACGACCTCCGCCTCCGCCTTAACCCCGCCCTTCACCAGCCGATCCTAACTGTTTAAAGGTTTGATCGTTCAATTTGTGGACCTCTCGTTCATGGAACGAATCGAGAGGGGATTTTGGCTTTGGTCCTAACTGTTTAAAGGTTTGACCAAGATGGGAATTTGAGACGATCCTAACTGTTTAAAGGTTTGATCGTTCAATTTGTGGACCTCTCGTTCATGGAACGAATCGAGAGGGGATTTTGGCTTTGGTCCTAACTGTTTAAAGGTTTGACCAAGATGGGAATTTGAGACGATCCTAACTGTTTAAAGGTTTGATCGTTCAATTTGTGGACCTCTCGTTCATGGAACGAATCGAGAGGGGATTTTGGCTTTGGTCCTAACTGTTTAAAGGTTTGACCAAGATGGGAATTTGAGACGATCCTAACTGTTTAAAGGTTTGATCGTTCAATTTGTGGACCTCTCGTTCATGGAACGAATCGAGAGGGGATTTTGGCTTTGGTCCTAACTGTTTAAAGGTTTGACCAAGATGGGAATTTGAGACGATCCTAACTGTTTAAAGGTTTGATCGTTCAATTTGTGGACCTCTCGTTCATGGAACGAATCGAGAGGGGATTTTGGCTTTGGTCCTAACTGTTTAAAGGTTTGACCAAGATGGGAATTTGAGACGATCCTAACTGTTTAAAGGTTTGATCGTTCAATTTGTGGACCTCTCGTTCATGGAACGAATCGAGAGGGGATTTTGGCTTTGGTCCTAACTGTTTAAAGGTTTGACCAAGATGGGAATTTGAGACGATCCTAACTGTTTAAAGGTTTGATCGTTCAATTTGTGGACCTCTCGTTCATGGAACGAATCGAGAGGGGATTTTGGCTTTGGTCCTAACTGTTTAAAGGTTTGACCAAGATGGGAATTTGAGACGATCCTAACTGTTTAAAGGTTTGATCGTTCAATTTGTGGACCTCTCGTTCATGGAACGAATCGAGAGGGGATTTTGGCTTTGGTCCTAACTGTTTAAAGGTTTGACCAAGATGGGAATTTGAGACGATCCTAACTGTTTAAAGGTTTGATCGTTCAATTTGTGGACCTCTCGTTCATGGAACGAATCGAGAGGGGATTTTGGCTTTGGTCCTAACTGTTTAAAGGTTTGACCAAGATGGGAATTTGAGACGATCCTAACTGTTTAAAGGTTTGATCGTTCAATTTGTGGACCTCTCGTTCATGGAACGAATCGAGAGGGGATTTTGGCTTTGGTCCTAACTGTTTAAAGGTTTGACCAAGATGGGAATTTGAGACGATCCTAACTGTTTAAAGGTTTGATCGTTCAATTTGTGGACCTCTCGTTCATGGAACGAATCGAGAGGGGATTTTGGCTTTGGTCCTAACTGTTTAAAGGTTTGACCAAGATGGGAATTTGAGACGATCCTAACTGTTTAAAGGTTTGATCGTTCAATTTGTGGACCTCTCGTTCATGGAACGAATCGAGAGGGGATTTTGGCTTTGGTCCTAACTGTTTAAAGGTTTGACCAAGATGGGAATTTGAGACGATCCTAACTGTTTAAAGGTTTGATCGTTCAATTTGTGGACCTCTCGTTCATGGAACGAATCGAGAGGGGATTTTGGCTTTGGTCCTAACTGTTTAAAGGTTTGACCAAGATGGGAATTTGAGACGATCCTAACTGTTTAAAGGTTTGATCGTTCAATTTGTGGACCTCTCGTTCATGGAACGAATCGAGAGGGGATTTTGGCTTTGGTCCTAACTGTTTAAAGGTTTGACCAAGATGGGAATTTGAGACGATCCTAACTGTTTAAAGGTTTGATCGTTCAATTTGTGGACCTCTCGTTCATGGAACGAATCGAGAGGGGATTTTGGCTTTGGTCCTAACTGTTTAAAGGTTTGACCAAGATGGGAATTTGAGACGATCCTAACTGTTTAAAGGTTTGATCGTTCAATTTGTGGACCTCTCGTTCATGGAACGAATCGAGAGGGGATTTTGGCTTTGGTCCTAACTGTTTAAAGGTTTGACCAAGATGGGAATTTGAGACGATCCTAACTGTTTAAAGGTTTGATCGTTCAATTTGTGGACCTCTCGTTCATGGAACGAATCGAGAGGGGATTTTGGCTTTGGTCCTAACTGTTTAAAGGTTTGACCAAGATGGGAATTTGAGACGATCCTAACTGTTTAAAGGTTTGATCGTTCAATTTGTGGACCTCTCGTTCATGGAACGAATCGAGAGGGGATTTTGGCTTTGGTCCTAACTGTTTAAAGGTTTGACCAAGATGGGAATTTGAGACGATCCTAACTGTTTAAAGGTTTGATCGTTCAATTTGTGGACCTCTCGTTCATGGAACGAATCGAGAGGGGATTTTGGCTTTGGTCCTAACTGTTTAAAGGTTTGACCAAGATGGGAATTTGAGACGATCCTAACTGTTTAAAGGTTTGATCGTTCAATTTGTGGACCTCTCGTTCATGGAACGAATCGAGAGGGGATTTTGGCTTTGGTCCTAACTGTTTAAAGGTTTGACCAAGATGGGAATTTGAGACGATCCTAACTGTTTAAAGGTTTGATCGTTCAATTTGTGGACCTCTCGTTCATGGAACGAATCGAGAGGGGATTTTGGCTTTGGTCCTAACTGTTTAAAGGTTTGACCAAGATGGGAATTTGAGACGATCCTAACTGTTTAAAGGTTTGATCGTTCAATTTGTGGACCTCTCGTTCATGGAACGAATCGAGAGGGGATTTTGGCTTTGGTCCTAACTGTTTAAAGGTTTGACCAAGATGGGAATTTGAGACGATCCTAACTGTTTAAAGGTTTGATCGTTCAATTTGTGGACCTCTCGTTCATGGAACGAATCGAGAGGGGATTTTGGCTTTGGTCCTAACTGTTTAAAGGTTTGACCAAGATGGGAATTTGAGACGATCCTAACTGTTTAAAGGTTTGATCGTTCAATTTGTGGACCTCTCGTTCATGGAACGAATCGAGAGGGGATTTTGGCTTTGGTCCTAACTGTTTAAAGGTTTGACCAAGATGGGAATTTGAGACGATCCTAACTGTTTAAAGGTTTGATCGTTCAATTTGTGGACCTCTCGTTCATGGAACGAATCGAGAGGGGATTTTGGCTTTGGTCCTAACTGTTTAAAGGTTTGACCAAGATGGGAATTTGAGACGATCCTAACTGTTTAAAGGTTTGATCGTTCAATTTGTGGACCTCTCGTTCATGGAACGAATCGAGAGGGGATTTTGGCTTTGGTCCTAACTGTTTAAAGGTTTGACCAAGATGGGAATTTGAGACGATCCTAACTGTTTAAAGGTTTGATCGTTCAATTTGTGGACCTCTCGTTCATGGAACGAATCGAGAGGGGATTTTGGCTTTGGTCCTAACTGTTTAAAGGTTTGACCAAGATGGGAATTTGAGACGATCCTAACTGTTTAAAGGTTTGATCGTTCAATTTGTGGACCTCTCGTTCATGGAACGAATCGAGAGGGGATTTTGGCTTTGGTCCTAACTGTTTAAAGGTTTGACCAAAATGGGAATTTTGTGAGGGAAGATTGATCTAAAGAGGTGATCGAATCTCATCTCAGCAAAAGAGTATTCAGAAGTTATAGTAAGAGTTTAGTGTTTATCACTTTGTTCATAATGATCGGGGTTATCCCTAAGAATATTACATTTAACATTCTTCCGGGAACTTCCCGTTATATGATTTATCCACCCCCAGCTTCCTTTGCGAAACCGGGTTTAACATTGTACTCAGTTGGATAATCGAGAAGCAGTTTATACTCATATGCTCTTTGGAGTGTGGGGAAACAGTTTATACTCGTGCACCCACTGGAGTTGTATGGTCGTCTTTACTCGACTTCTTTCGTCGTTATGACGCCGGAGTCAATTAGGGCTTGGATCTTGTTTTTGAGTCCAAAGCAAATCTCGGTGGGATGAAGAACCCTTCTGTGGTACGCACAGTAGTTTGGATCCGTAATCCTCTTAGCTCCATCCTGATCTTTAATAGGTGGTAGCTCGATTTTGTCATTAGCGAGGAGGTATTCTAATATGGCTGAAGCTTCATCATCTTCGAAAGAATATTCCTTTTGAAACCTCTGATCGAGAGTCGCATTCTCAACGATTGCAGATGTCATTGGTTGGCCTCTCTCAGCTTTCTTTTTTTTAAGAAAGTGCTTAGCTTGTTCACCCCGAGCTTTTCCTTCCAAGTTGTGGATGGCACGACCCCCAGAGCTTCCAGGACATCGATGGAGAGGTTATTGTGGCATGTTTGCAGGATGAACTCCTCTGTAATAGGATCTCTGCAATTCATTGCTTTGTTACGGAAACGTTTGACAAAATTGTCAACTGACTCTCCGTCTTTTTGCTTCTCATCCAAAAGGGTTCCGATTGACACTTCGGTGTCATCATCGAAGAAATTGCTGAGGAACAAACTTTCCATGTCATCCCAGCAATTGATGCTCCCTGGCTTGAGCCGTCGGTACCAATCGAAGGCGGGCCCCCCTACGAATGACCGGACCATCAGGGCTTCGTTCCCAGATATTGCGCCGAGATGCGACTTGAAATAGATCAAGTGCTGAATAGGCGAGCTCTTCCCTTCAAACGGTGTGAAGTTAATCAGATTGAATTTTGACGGGTATGGTATTGAATCCCATTCTCTTGGATAGGGACACGGAATACCTGTCTTTTTCCCTTCTTGAGCCGTCATCAAAGCGTTGATTTTGTTTTCAAGCTCTTGCATTTTCTTGTCCTCATCTTCATCTCTCTCTGAGTGATGTCGAGCAGAAATAATTAAGCCACCTCCAGTGTTACTAAGCGGTGCAATTAAACCACCCTCAATGTTGTTATTGGGAGGATCTGTTGAACCACGTTATTGCCATTGGGAAGTGTATCAGCCAAGATGACTTCATCCACCTCTGGATCACTGTCATCTACAACATTCCGAGTGTGGTGGCTGGATTCAGCTCGCTGACTGGACTCAGGAGGTTGAGGTTGTTGAGTTAGCAACTCTCTCATTTGTTGAATAGCTAACTTCATCTTTGTCTTCATCTCAGCTCTAATTTCTTCACGTTGCTTCGCTAGAGCTTCTTGAAGTATTTGAGCAAATTGATCAGAGGTGATCGTGAGTACTTCTCTGGTTTGTCCTGTGCTAGACATTGTATCATCAGAAGCGATTGCAGAACAAGTGTCCGAGAATTCATCCTCTGAGGACATTCCTTCTTGCATTCTTTTGTAATCTCTGCGTCTGATGGCTCCTAATTGGAGTCGAGACATCCTTTGAGCAATTCTTGGATTGACTTTTCCACTGGGAGAAAAGTCAGGATTTGAGTCATTTGAATGCCGCTTCGACTTTCTTTTATCAGCCACGTTGATGGTGACTTCAGGGAATTCATCATCTTGGGCAGCTGATTTTGTTTTGCGGAAATGTCTCGGCTTAGGCTTCGACAATACAGAGACTTTTTGTGGGATGGCTTCTCGTTTGAAACAGTCACATTCTGATAATGCTGCTTTAACGAGTCGCGCACAGGAATAATGAGAGTTTATTTCTCGAATAACTCTCTTTCGAAAATTATTCATAACCCCAACTTGATAATACGATTCATCGGTATGATTGCCAAAAAATCGTATCGTCTGTTGGCATGACCTCCCAGGTATGACGTTGTCTTTTGGTGAATGCGTCTTCTTCTGAGGGTGTAAAACCTTGTTGGCATTCTCAGGACAATTTATTGTTGCATTTGAACGATCCAAGGTTATGTCGGGAGTCGCACGTCTAAAACCACCCCCTTGCGGGTACGGAGTCTTAACGGGCTCCGAATGCTGATTTTGCACAACTCCAGCTTTTGGAATCCAAACTTGGCGGAGTTTAGGTGGTTCTTTGGTCACCATTTCCTTCCTCCTTTCTCGTCTTTGCTTTTGTATACGTTCTTTGAGGGTTGAACGAGCCCTTTTGACAATAGTCCATTCCTTCGTCGTTAATTTAGCAGAGATATGAGTGATTGATCGTTGAGACAACTGAACCACTCGATGCCTCCTCGACTCTAGGTCCGCGTAATAACGAACCCCGTTGGTTTGTTCTAATGCCTTAGCTAATTGACGAGCGCGGCGTTGGCGTCGCCTCTGACGAGCCCTCTTCGTCAGTGGTGAACTTCGATCGAACGACTCCTTAATTGGGGAGGAATCATCTTAAGCAGAGCTGTTGCGAGTAAAATCCTCAGCAACAATCAGACGAGAGTCTTCATCTGTAGCATTTGATAACTTCAATGAAGATGAAATCTTCCTACACTTGCGAGGCGCGGAAGACTTTACAGATGAGGATGACAAATACTCCTCAAACTTCGCTTGGTCGAACTCATACTCGACCGTTGATTCAACCAGGATCTTGATGATTGGTTGCGACATGACGGTCTCGGCAGTGAGACCGTTGGCTCCCACTGTGGTCGCCAGCTTGTTTGAGTCAAAAATCGGTTCTGTTGAGGAATTCATTATAACTTTGTTTGATTACAACAAATTCGAAAGAATAATCTTTTTATAAGACTTTTTCTACACAACAAAGTAAAAATTATAACTTTTGAGAAACAAACACAAAAATCGTCTATCGATCTTTGTTTTCGTGGGACTTTGCCTGTGCCGGGAACGCTTTGGTTCGTGGACCGCCGATTCACAGATCGTGAAGAGGGGGCTTATGATTCTAACTTCGTTATCGAAGTAGAAATTGAAACGATATCTTATCGAAGTAAGATAGTCGTTCTTCTTAAAATCAAGTCAAAGCTTAATTTCAAGGCGTTGCAAGAAAAGAACCCAAATCTCTGCTCTCTCTGCTCTGGAATGCTCTAACAAATGCTCGATCCTCGTCAGAAGTGACCCTAGGGGGGTATTTATAGCCTCAAGGGTCTGTAACTGCAAAAACTCAGCAATCATAGAAATCAGTACGGCGAGACAGTGTTTGCTGTCTCGCTGGGCGAGACAGCGTTTGCTGTCTCGACCCGCGAGACAGTAAATTTGCTGTCTCGCTCAGCGAGACAGTAAATGCTGTCTCGGAAAATGGCAGTTTCTCGCTGCCGGCGAGACAGCAAAGGCTGTCTCGCACGGCGAGACAGCAAAGACTGTCTCACGTGCGAGACAGTCTATACTTGTGTTCTTTTTGACATTTTGGATGACTTCCTTTTGAGCTGTGTTTGGATATCTCTCAGCATTTTTTGACGCCTACAATTATGTAATAGGGAGGGGACACCTTACCTGTCCCGTCCTTTAGTCCTATATTTTGGGTCCCCGTAACAATACTCCTCTGTTTTTGAAGCCATTCAGAGATTAAAATTTATAAGTAGGAGAAATTTTTAAAACCAACCATTTTTAAAATTTAATGGGCAAAATCAACCTATACTGAAAAATATTAGCAAAACCGACCCTTTTCAGAAGAAAAGGATCGGTTTTGCAGCGGAGGGGTTTTTACGAAGTGCACAGGACTAGCAGTCCCGTGCATTTCGTTCAGAAACGAAGTGCACGGGACTGCTAGTCCCGTGAACTTGGTGTTCAGCAGCCGGTTCCCTCTCTGCTTAAAACTCGGGACTTCTAGTTCTGACTCTTAAGCAGAGAGGGAGTGCTGAACACCAAGTGCACGGGACTAGCAGTCCCGTGCATTTGCTGTGCATGTTTTTGTGCACTTTTTGGCTGCATTTCAAGTAGTTCCTGTGCATACATCAACACAAACTTCCTCAACAAATCACATACTCATTTCACCACTGCATTTCATGTAGTCCATGTGCATACATCCACACAAACTCCCACTAACAAATTACATACTAATTTCACCACATTCTCATTTCAAATCAAACAAATCACATCACACCACAAACTCCCACTAACAAATCCAACATAAAAACATCACAAACTCACTTAGAAATCAAACATATCACATGATATTATCGACTACAAATCCAAAAATCACATCCCTAAATAGTTTTGTAATGTATATAACCTGTAGTTTACATACATCCAAGAACTCTCCTCCTCCTCCTTTGTCTTCGTCGTCCTCCCTACCGCCATTCGACGAGTTCGTGATCCGGTTGCGTTTGTGGTTGTGACGGTCTAGTTCCATCGTCGACACGTTGGGAAGGTCCAGCTTCATCGTCATTTCTGCGTCGTCCTTGACTTTGTCGCTGTTGTCGTGTATATACGGATGACGTTACCTCCCGTCCATCATGACGATCTTCGTGAGTTCGGTGTAAGGCTTGGTGAAGCCTCTGCATTATAGCCTGATATATTGATACATGTTCATGTGCTTCGGGATTTCTACCTGCGATAGATAGTTCAAAAACAAAATTTCATATTAAATTTGATATTATAGAATGTAAATTTGAGATTTAATTTTATCGTACCAGCTCAAGCCAATTCCAAGCCGCGATTTGCAAGAGTTTGAACTTCATCTATTGCTGATACCTGCAAATTTTTCAACACATAAAATACCAATAAAATGGACTTAAATCAAAATATGAAAATACTTACTAATTCTCTCTCATCTATACCACGGGGCACATATCCTCTTTGCGACTCAACCGGTATTGTGGTCGAATGAAGTATCCATCTTTGGGTTATGCCCCAATACCAAGTGTAGTAATCTGATTCCCGAGGAGTTGGTTCAATTTGGTTGACAATACAAAAATGCCTATCATTCCATCTGTGTATAAAAGTTTGATGCACGATCATCCAGTTTATTTGTTGGCCTCCTTTCTTTGCCTTCCTCTCTATCTTTTCAACAAATTGCGGAACATGTTGTGCATGACCAAATTGTCGAAGCACGCGATCCGGTACATGCATTTCTACTATCTTCAAACATATAAGAGGAACTCTATCTCTCCATACAACTTGGTATTATGTGCATATTGGGGGTAGCTGAGGTAGAAATTGGGTGTAGGGCTCCCATTCCATCTACAATAATTTAATGCAGTTGCATATCAGAATTGGGTTTTCAGTATGTAGACGAAAAAGCACATGTTTTTGGGGGAGAATTACCTGAAAAATCTTCATACGATCAAGCTCATTTCGGTAGAAATCCAATTGTCTAGTCGGGGTCTCGTCATAAAATTTTTTCGACATTCCATCTACAAAAAAATGTTTGTCATACATTTAGTAGCACAATGATAACTACAGTTATATTCGCTACATAAAAAATACAATACATGCATCCCAGTGGAATTTGTCCATCTAATTGTAAATGCGTGCATAGTCTCGGGTTCAAATAAAGTCTCTCCCATACCCATATTTGCAATAAGCTTAGACACCCTTTAAGCTCATTGTTTTGCATAAGTGCCACTTTTGACATCTCTCTATATAAGTACGCTAAAACGGCACTACCCCACGATTTTGTACCACATGCGTCCAAGTCTCGAGGAGTGGTAACCACCTAGCATATTCACAATATTCTAATTTATCAAAATAAGCTAATTCAATGAAATACAGATTCATATTATAAATACACGTACCTCGCATGCACTTTATCTTTACTTGAATCTGGAAATAATATAGTACCAATCATGTGCATAATGTATGCACGTGCATGTTGGTCAACCAAAATATGTGGGGCATCAACAGGCAACGGTACTGAGAAGGTCTCTCTCAACTACTTCAACTTAATATTTCCTCGAGGCATTGACTTTGGAGCTACACCTAACAACTGCTCACATCTTGTCGGCCATACAACACTATTAGTGCCGGTAATGCACGGACCATCTATACGGAGACCGAGTATCACGACTACATCTTGTAGAGTAATGGTAGTCTCGCCCATCCGGAAGTGGAAAGTATTGGTCTCAGGTCTCCATCTATCCATCAACGCGGTCAGTAGGGGCCAATCGAGCTTTATCCAACGAAGCTTTGAACAAGTCAAGAAGCTGGCCCATCCCACAGCTGATATGATACGCTCATCCTCTAACCGCCAACGGCTATGGCTGAGGCTATGATCAACCATAACGATACTCTCTCCTCTCTGTACAGTAAATGATAGTATAAGAATGCAATATTATGTAAATACAAATATTACAATTATAAAGTAACTGAATTACCTCTGTACAGGATATAATATGTGAACGATGCTGAGCCTGGTCATATAAGACCTCATCACTAACCGGCCCAGGATCCATGGTGTACAAACCTGCACATACAATTATACACATGTCAATAATCAATCATATAGTAATTCAGTTTCTTTATTAAAGTATATAAAAATAAAAAAATATATAAATTACCAATTAGTTGCTATCTATTGTGTCTAGATGGACAACAAGGTCGAGTATGTCCCGGTTGTTTGCAAAGACTACATTTTTTTATGCTTGACCACTCCTTCTCGCCCTTGATCCATGGTTCCCCTAATTCGCACAGATCGTGGTCGACCTGCTTGTCTCCAGTACTAAGGTGGAATTATACGTGGTCCATTATATTTAGGCCAATACCGACTATCATTAGGTGGATGAAAACTCTCACTATATGTCTTTTGATAGTGAGCTGTTGAATACCAAGGCGAGCAATACCGATTTTTGGGAATTCTAGCACCTCCCAGCTGATTGGAAGAAGCCGCAAGCACATGTACACAGGGCATTTTTTGGAGTTGTGGTATGTTACATGTGCAAGTGCAATCAACATCAAATAGTTTAACGGTGTAGATACCATCACAATCTTGTACCTGCCATTCGTTGTCATTGAATGCGGTAATTTGACATGATCTTGCTGCCTCAATTCTTCTATGCAAAATTATCATAGAGCGAAGAATTATCGCAGTACACCAGCAGGAGACTAGCATGATAGAGATCAGGGCCAATAATCTTAAGGCAACAGTTACGGCTAGCATCGGAGGATAGATGTGCTACCGGTTATTCTGAAGATGTAGGGGCCTATAGGCCATAATTACGCTATTTAGAGTATTCATCAGTGTCAGATGGACCCATGTGTTTCACCGCCAGCAGCGTAGCAGGCGTCGGCCACCAGCAGAGTTTATATAGTTGCGCCATATGATCATAGTGCGAACAGAGTTTTCGTAGTAAATTCTTATCCAGCTCGAATCTTGTTGATTTAGAAGCTTCGTATTTTTTTATCTATCATGATGTCATGATTAGACATCAGCTTGTAGCGCAGCGTTTAGGCGTTCCATTATCAGTTTGTACTCCTTTAGGGGAGGTGTCCTTATTAGAGAGTATATGTAGGAGATGTGTCATCAGTATAGATGAGTTTGAGTTCATCTTTGTCATGGTCGTTTTGTGGATGTCGAACTTCAACGTCATTCTTGGTATGAAATGGTTATCATCCTACAATATCAGTATCGACTGTTTTGCTAAAACAGTACACTTGTGAGCATTCGTTGGGATTCTATAGATAGTAGCAATCTCATGGGGTAACCAGAATGCGGAGTCATTTCTGGCATACGTCGAAGAGGTGATGATACCGGATCGAGGTGCAGTTTTGAGCGAGACCGGAGTTGTCTCAGTATATCAGGATGTCTTTCAGGACATACCTATGTTTTCTCCAGTGAGAGAGGTTGTTTCCCTGCATCGAGTTGCAGCAGGCACTGTACCAATTTTCCGAGCAACCTATCATATCTTATGGCACCCGTTGAGAGGAGGGAGCTACAGACTCAGGTAGATGAGTTGTTAACTCAGGGCTTTATTTGTCGGAGTCATTTTTATGGGAGCACAGGTCTTCTTCGTGGGGAAGAAGGACTATAGCATGCGATTGTATATCGATTATTGTGAGTTGAACAAGGTCACTTCCCGGATCATGGATCCACTGTTGAGGATTTATGACTTGTTCGACTAGCTGTGGGGAGCGCAGCATTTCTCGAAGATTGATCTTCATTCTAGTTATTTCCAGTTGCGAATGCGGTAAATGAGCGTTTCCAAAACTGCATTTTCTGACTCGATATGGGTCTTTTGAGGTCTTGTCATGCCATTTGGGCTGATTAATGCACCCGCGGTATTCATGGATTTGATGAACCGGGTTTTTCGTCCATGTTAGGACCAGTTCGTAGTCATTTTATTAACGACATCATTATCTTTTCGAGATCGGAGACAGAGCGCGAGCAACATCCTCTATTGGCATTACGGGGATAGCGGACAATCGAGATTAGAGGTATCAGTGATATGCTGAGTTCAGCAAATATGAGTTTTGGCTATAAGAGATTAGATTTTTAGGCCACGTCATCAGCAGGTGGGGCATAACAGTGGATCCAGCCATTGTTGAGATACGCTGAGTTCAGCAAATACGAGTTTTGGCTATAAGAGATTAGATTTTTAGGCCACGTCATCAGCAGGTGGGGCATAACAGTGGATCCAGCCATTGTTGAGGCTGTACTCGATTGGGAGCCACTAAGAACCATTACAGGGGTTCGTAGTTTTAGATTGGTAAGAGAGAAAGTTCATTCAAGACATTTTGAAGATTATGATACTACTTACATACATTACAAAAAAGGGTGTATAGTTTGCTTTGGGCACAGGGTGCTAGGAGCCTTTAAGACTATTAAGGCTAGATAGACTACAATGACAATTTTAACTGTTCTAAACAGTGATACGACATTTGTCATTTACGTGGACACACCATTAGCAGGACTACGAGGTGTTTTGATGCAGACCCGGAGGGTATGGCTTATTTTGCGACAGTTTAGGCGCAGAAAATGTACAAGGATCTGAAGAGACATTTTTGGTGGAGTGGTATGCGCAGAGGGATTGCAGATTATGTGGCTAAGTGTTGTACCTGCCAACAAATTAAGGCAGAACATCAGAGACATGCAGGAACCCTACAGCTTTTACCCAATCCTGAGTGGAAGTGGGCAGATATTTCCATGGATTTCATAATGGGGTTGTATAAATCAAAGGAAGAAAATGATTCTATTTGGGTTATAGTGGACATATTGACTAAGTCTACATATTTCTTACCAGTGAGGATGACTTATACGGCAGATATGTATGCGAGGATCTTCATTCGGGAGATTATTAGATTGCATGGAGTTTCGGAGACGATTGTATCAGATCGGGGCTCAGGCTTCACATCTCATTTTTGGAGGAGTTTCCAGTATGCTTTTGGCAGTCAGTTGTCATTTAGCAGTATTTTTCACCCCTAGACAGATGGTCAGACCGAGAGGGTGAATCA